TCTCTCTCTCTCTCTCTCTCTCTCTCTTCTTCGTCATGATCTTCTCTGCAGGTGCGCGGCGGCTTCTTCAGCCTCAGGTCCGCTATGGCGAACTGTATCCCTCGGCGGCCACCTCTGCTATGGGACTTCAGGGCCTGCACACGACGACGCGCATGGAATAGCGGGTACCAGCTCCGATACCAATGCAATCAGACTCGTCTCATTCACACTTTTCATGCATGTAAACAGCATCGCAGCAAACTGGCGACATGCGCCCACTCAGAACTCAGAGATATGGCATCCAGATAAGAGTTCACTTCCACTGGCTATGGCAACTCAGCGCCCACAACTCATTGTTCACATACACCGGATCACCCTGGATATCCCACATGCACCACTCTGAACACTCACACAACACACACACACTTCACTCTAAACTACAGCTATGGCAGCGATGGCTGCCTCTACCCTATCGCTATGGCTGCACTTCGTCTCTCTCGCCCACTTCAACTTCGGGCGTCACTGCAGACCTCCTCACACAAGCCGCTGAGACAGCGCTTCCGCATGGCTTCCGCAGGAATGAATGAATGGTTGTGCGCGGCCTCTTGATTTATACTTCTGTGACTCGTTAGTCTGCCCTTGTTTCCCTGGCCCACGGTGCACACAGCCCCAGGCGGTACTTGCTTGACTGGACCGGACTGACTGGACTGGGACTGCTGACTCTGCACGGTGGACTTCCACCACTTGGCCACTTGCCTCTGCCTAAACTTGGGCAGCCTCGAAAGGCCACCACTGGGACCTTCTAGAAGGCCGTGGACTTGGCCTTTCGGTCCTGTCGGGGCTACGACCTTGACTCTTCAGGACTGGACTAGCTACGACCTTGACCTTTCAGAAAGCTGTGGCTAGGACTTCTAAGCCTGGCTAAGACTCCTAACCGACAGGTCTACAGATCAAACCCAGGCTACCTACGGACCCTACGACGACCTATCAGCTGTTACAAATACACAGGTCGCGGGTTCAACTCCACGGGTCAACACAGGTACTGTACACAGGTAAGGTGGGGACTAGGGATCGAGCCCTGGGATCTGCATCAGCTACTGCGAGTTGGTGAATACCGTTTCAAATTTGGCTGGGATCCAGAGCTGGCACTGTTACTTCGAAAAAATGAAGTGGTAAAAGCAGGCCTGTGCTAAAAAACGAAGCAAAAAAAAGGAAAGCGATGACAGTAAGGAAACAGAGTCAGTGACAGCATGTACATTCAAGGCCAGGGCTAGGTAGCAGATATATGGCCACCTCACTCAGCCATTTTGGTAGGGGAGACGATGGGCAAGGTCCCACTTGCCTGGTTTCATCGTTTCCCACATCCGAGTACAAAAGTCGATGGGCAGAAACGAAGAACCAAGGTGCACTGAGACCTTGGCCCTGGAGTTCGGATCCCAAGAAGGTTTCTGAAAGTTCAAAGCCTGGCAGGAAATCAAGACGAATGAAAAAATGTGACTCTACCCGCCAAGTTTCTCCACAAAGATAGGATCTGGCCCATCAACCATCGGCTCAGACTGGTGCGCCCAACCAGGTCACTCCGCTAGTGTAGCCCTGCAGCTAGCTGGCCCATTTCCATTTCAAAATATATCACATAGGATAGTTGCAATGACTTGCTGTTTTCTGGTCGCCTGTAGCCTCTCTCTGTCGAGGTTGTACTTTAGGTAGGACAGATTCATAATTTTGTTTGGCTGAGGGCTAACCGAGAGACCTACCTGTGAGAGAAATTATTGAGGGACGTATCTGCAAATCCGGGAAAATACAGGCCCGGTACTAACAGGTTTCCCTACAGCTACCTAACTGCGCATAGCAGGCCCGGGCTACCCTAGGACAGACAGGCCCTAAGGGCCTATTCTGATAGACGGTCCTATAGCCTATAGCCGGGTCCGGTAGAGGCCGAGAGGCCGAAACAGAAACGGTACCGGTCGGTCAGTCAGTCCGGTCTAAGTCGGGGTAGGCTAGAAGTAGGATGGGCACATCGGTTCAGGGCTTTTGGCAGTTCGTACCGAGTACATTGCTGCTGTGCTACGCATGAACCGGAAGGGGTGACGGCTCAGCGTGGAAGAAGACGGGCATAGCCAGACCTTCGGAGTGCAGGCCATAGCTGGGACCTGCGCTGTACTCTGCCAGCACGCAGGGGCTGACAGAGGTCTGGGTTATCGAGGTCTGCTCACGGCGAGAGAGATTGGTGCCCTGCTGCACCCTCCTCCAGAGTGGGGTCCTAGAGGGTTTGCGCTGCAGCCATAGCTGCAGCTTCTTCATCTCAGAGGTCATCTTGTCAGGGTTTGGTGGCGTTGCTGCAGACTTCCACCCAGGAAGTCTCCCGACACTTCGTCATCATCAGATATTGTGGCGCTGGTCTTCTTCTTCATCCACTGAGTAGCGCTTGGCCTCATAGGCCTGTTTCAAGGTGGCGCTGCCCCCAGGAGGCTGTAATTGGGTGGCGCTTAATGTTTCAGGGGCTCAGGGGTGTTTCGGGTGTTACTCAGGGTTGGGGAGTGAAGCGCTGCTCATCTCTGAGCAGCGCACTATAGTACTGAAGTTATCCTGACAATTCGAGACTCTGAGTTTAATAAACAGTGTGATACTGTGTTTGGACTATCATCGTTTCATTGTT